TGAAGCTACTTTGAACAAAAGCTTAAAATCACCGTCTACCTATAAGGAATCTATGAAATTTCGATGTCTCACAGTAGCGGTGCCCTCAACGGTATAACCAATTAACGCTGTCTGAAGATGCTTCCAAAGCGAGAAAATCGCTTCAAAATCTTTGGAAAACAAATTCGCCATGTTGGCTCCTCCCTAGCAAGTAGGTGAAACGTTCCTCCCTCCCACTCAGTGGTTTCGCCTAGCAGCCGCAAGCTCAAGAAATCGATCGAATCATGCGAGAGTGCGTCTCTGCCCTAGATGGACCCGCAGCTGGCCCGCGACTGACCGGCAGGCGCAAGGAGTGTTTGTTAGCTGCGGATTCTGAAGGGCATCCAAAACTCAGCAACTTATATTTCGTTGAATTTTGGGCATGGATGCGTACTCAGCGGGCGCAAGAGGTGCTAAGAAAACAAAATTTCAAAATCGAGGATTTGAGTAGTCAGTGACTTTGAAGGTTGATCAAGTGGTCACTTATGTTAAATGTTACTCCTTATTCCTAGAGTTCAGCGCTAAATCAATCATAGAACAGTCAGAGATTCATACAGTACAGTTTCACAGTTTACTTAATTTGATGGTGGCTCATCGTTAATATGATTGACAAGTCGACATTAAAATAGTTTAAGAATAAATAAATAGATACATTAAAATAGTACAGTTTCTGGTGGCAAAGTCGCTTTGATCTCCTTGAATCGTCAAGCGAGTTGCATCCTTCTTCGATACACTAATCATCATAGCAAAGCATTAGATTGCAAAGAAAGCTTTGCTATCTTCCTATTAGGGTGAAAGGTAAAAAATGGGACACTTACGAAATGACTGGAGGTTTCTTAAGAAAGAGAGGCATTCCAATTTTGACAGATGTTAGAATATGTTATTTTCTTTCAGATAATACCTATAAAAGGTCATTTACGTAATTAATAATTTTTATACTTGCTGAAATGCAAAGTTAGTCACTTCGACAAATTATGAACTTTGAGCAGGATCGCGCAATGAAACATGTGAGACCACGCAACCACTGCTGGAGTGGGTGGTGGGACAGTCACCAAACCCACGACGGCTTGGTGGCCTCAACTTCCAAAGTCAGGAGATGAGGCATTAGCAGCTTCAAGAACGAGGATATGCGTTATCCAATTCCTTGCAAGTGAGCGCATGTTTCCTAAATAACATCTGATAAAGCTTTTTACGCTCTGTCCATCCATGTGCAGCTTGCCTCAGATTTTATCTATTTTTGGAAAATATAGGGCAAAACATGATTTTTTTATTGCGCCAAAAATAGCTATTTCTCAGGTTTTTTGCTTTTTTGAATTGAAAAGAATCTTAGGCATTTGACATATCGTTTAAAAGAGCATGAAGAGCTCTTTTGAATGGTATGTCACTTGCTTTACGACTTTACGGTATAGCAGTACAAAATCGAGAGTTGTTCAAAAAACCTGTCGGATTTCTTCACGACGCCACGCGTACGGTTATGAGAGAGGAGCAATAACGCGTTGCCAGAGTAAAGAAGAAAAAGGTCGGTTATGTAAACAACGTTTGAGTTGCAGCTTGCTTGTTATTAGTGAGACAAAAAATTTCAAAATGTAATAAAAATCAAGCTATCCCATTTTTTACCGTTCACCCTAATATAATTACTTAATATAATTATTAAATTTATGCGCATAAGGATGGCTTTAGAATGTGTTACAATCTGGCGCCAGCTGCCAGTTACGTTACACGGTTTTGCAAAAATAACCCGTACAAGAACTTCTTGCAGACTACATATACAGGGTGTCCCAAAAAAATGTATCGAACGTTTGATCGTTAATATCTCTCTTCTAAAGAAGTCTTTTCCCTTGCTTCAGGTGCCAATCTGTAGAGCTGGCTTCAACTTAGATTTGCGTTATAAAACGATTCACCCATCTCTCTTCATTACTGTAGGGTTACGGTAGAAACTTCAAAGAGGGTTTTGAACCATGAAAGGCCATATTTTGCCTCAGAAAGGAAACAAAACAGCCTGAAAAATTTTACACCAGGCTAATTAGAATTGCTGATTAAACTGTAAAGTTCCCAACTTATTGTGATACTTCATTGAAGAGTTATGCCAGGTAAGAGGTAGCGGCCATTTTTTCAATATTCCTAAAAAGTGCGATTACACCGTTTAGAAGGCTTCGCAATCTTGTGAATAGTTGAGTATTGAACTCAGCATCCATAAAAACCCACTAATACACAAGTTTTCACAATTTTTTGAAAAATTTTGAAACGGCAGCTTTTTCCATATTGACATCATATGTTTCAAGTTTCTACCGTAATCCTACAGTAATGAAGAGAGATGGGTGATTCGTTCTATAATGCAAATCTAAGTTGAAGCCAGCTCTACAAAACGGTCCCTGAAGCAAGGCAAAAGACTTCTTGGGAAGAGAGATATTAACGATCAAACGTTCGATACATTTTTTTGGGACACCCTGTATTATTACTGCTGACTCAAGGGAACAAATGTTAGGCAGAACTCGCAAGGTGAAAGATTTGTAAATACTGCGGCCAGTAAAGGCATTGCAAATTATACAATTCGACTGAAATCTAAAAATTCTTTCGTTCAAAAGCTAAGGATCTAGCTGGATATTTTCTCATTGTACTTTACGCCATTTTGATTTGTTTTCCAGAAAAAAATTACTTACCTGAGTTTGTCTTGCCGACTGCTGCATGCGTAAGCTCAAAGAATAAAACAAATTCATCCAACGCCTTGAAAATGCTTCTCTTCTTTGCCTTCTAGGATCGACCCAATCTCTTCGGTCCAATTTCAACTTTCACACAACTAAACATACAACAGGAAATATGCTATTACAGAGTACAAAAAAGCCAGAAAATAGAGTCTATGCTAATACGAAATAAAAAAATTACAGAGAAATGGAAATTTTCCAGAAGACTTTCACAAGACTTCTGTGACTCTTTCAAGAATGCTAGAAGTATCCAAAATGTACACGAAACTCTCGGCAGTCTATTACAGTAAGAGCAATTCATAAACTTCTTGATCTGGTCAAGAACAACATCATGCCTGAAGGTTACATTACAACTAACTTATCATTAACACAACTAAAGTTCTGTGCTTAGTAATTACAATCCATTCTTTTCGCACGGCAATTGTGTAAAGCCCCTGCGAACTTTAGGAAGTTTTCAGTAACCAAGTAATTAAAAATGAGGAAAATGAGCAACATGAATAGAAAGAAAAATTACATATCGATATAAATCATAGAGATCCGCTCCGTCAGAGGAAGAAGGGAGCTGATGAATTAAGCAGTTACAAATGCTTCTGTGTGAGTCATTCGCCTGCTAAGAAATATTTTAAGGAGAATCAATTAAGACTGAGATTTCGTAGTAATCATCACGTTCTAAAATGTTATCCATAAACATCTTGATAATTTTCAAATCCACGTATACTTTTTTTTCGTATACAAATACTTTTGCATGGCTAGTTACTAAAAACTTATAAGGAATGCGTATATGTGAGCTATTTTATTTTTTTTTTGAATATTTTTGTATCGCAAATTACTGGTAAATTTCAAATTTTCTGCGGTCCTGTCGATATACGATTTGCGGCAAACGCGCCAGTGTGGGAATTTTCGCAGCTCAGCGCAATGAGGTGCGAGCTGTTGTGAAAATCTCGCGAGAGGTTGTGGACGACGAGAACGCGCTTACGGTAGTTCAGCCGCGGCGCTTGTGCCAGTTTTGGCGGCTGGTTGCGGCACCAGGCGCTGCCTGGGTAACACTTGCATGCCTCCCATCCCTTCCATCATAAATATCACATCATCTCTGAGTGCAGCATAAATTTGTGGACATTTTTTGGTCCGTCTGGAGCAAAGATTTGGGAAGGAAAAACTTATAAAAACTATTGACACACCAACTTTAGGTGCACCTTCATGGCAGCTCTGTCTCATTTATAGGGCTTATCAAACGAAGTGTCGCTTGCATCAGCATCTCCACTCCAGCGCTGGACTCTGCATCTCTTCCGCAAACATGATCACTTTCCCAGGGCGAGCGTGGGAAAGCCGGAGCATCAATCGATTGAAAGTGGTTAGATAGCATGCTATGGAAGAACGCAGAGTCCAGCGCGGGAGTGGAGATGCTGATTCAAGCGACACTGCGTTTGATAAGCGCTGTACGATTACAGTTACTCAGAAAAAAAGCTACCATTGTAGTAGTGGCAACTGAAGAATTATTGAACTAGTAATGTCATATGTGCCATCGAAATCAGCGGCGTCAAAGATACATTGTGCTTTGAATAGCAACCACAGCCCAGTTATCAATAGATATTCCGCTATTGTTGCTCCCTCTAAATTTTTGCACTTCTACTTCACAATCTATGGTTTTAAAAATATTTTCAGCTTTACCGGACTACATTCTCTCATGCAAACACTGCCGTGCCATTATTTGCACAAATAACATCTTGCATGACTTCTAGGCAGATCTGTTGAAGAGCAACATATTCAGGTCTTGTTTTGTGGTCAAAGAGGTCAGGGAAAAGATTTTGTACAGAGGCATTTTCGGCCGAAAGCAGGTTTCCGACTTCCATTTATGTTTTATGAGTTTCTTTCTTTTAAGCCATTGTAAAGCTTGAAGAGCTCAATACCAGCTTTCAATTATATTATCGCTCGGGTGCGGCTCTCCACCGTTATAGATTTCACTTTTACTCTACTCTTTCGCTTCTTTGCAGTTGCGGTGGCGCGATGATTTAGGAAAAGAGTGCGCATCGTATTAAAATTCATTAAAATTCGCATTTACACCTTACATCGCCACCTTTGCCTCCAGGTTTCGCAACTGCAAAATAAGCGTAAGGGCTATATCCATGGCGGAACTTATGATCTCGTAGTTTGAAGAGTTGCTCCTAGTTTAGTCACTGCTACTTTTTTTGCGCTCAGCTAGCCCAATGATATCTGTTATGGGCACATTTTCAACTCTTTGTGTTTCAAAAACGAAAGTTTCGGTCTGATGGGCATCCTACCATGTATTTGGACTCGAAGACGACATTGGATTTGATCCAAATTCAAAGGTATAGTGTGGACCCGGGCCAGCTTCCCATAGGTACCTGCGCGACGCACCCGCAACGCACGCCTTCAGCGCGTCTCCTGTCCTAGCTTCTGATGGAAATCCTCCTTCCTCTCCTTTTTCTTGTTTTTGGTGTACTATATTCTCTCTATTTTAGGTATTAACAATTTGCGATCACCGGTGACGAGATTTCACGTGCTCTAATAGACCTAAGAGCTTCAGTCTGTAGTAGTAGTCTTGTGTTTTCCCTTTTTTCTATGAAAAATTCAGATTTGATTGGACATTAAGATGATATTCTTCCAAAAGCTTCTTGTATAAAATAAGAGTCCCTTTCGGTTTGATGTGTAAGGTGTAGACAGTGTTTCAAGTCAAAATTGAGCCTTCCGAGAAGCCAATAGGCATTTGTTTACTAAAATGTCCACGTTTTTGAAATCGTTGACCACTCTAGTTTCTAAGTCTACGAAGAGAAATGTTTTGAGAATGCTGTTGTTCTTTAATTTCTTTGCGTATACTTATTACAACCTATCCATCAGTACATGTTCGGAATATGCATCCATTGATTGAATTTGAGGTACTCATGAAGGTTGCCTGCGTTTCTTTCTTGCATACGTCTCTTTCGAAGTGAATCTAGAGGTTTCCACTTTACATTTTTCTTCTTTGTGAGCATAAATATGCTCTACTGCTCATGAGTGAGGCGAGAGGCATTGAAGGGCGCGCGCTGCGTGCGCGCTGCGGAAGTACCTATGGGAACCTGGCCGGGGTCCACACTATAGGCAACTTTGTATATTTCGACGTCATTGTGAATGACATTTTGGTAGCATTTTCAAAAACTGTTGTTTTTAAATAATGATCTTTGGCCAGAATGTGCGACATGTTGGATTAGTTGTGCACAGAAGCCTTTTTAGGGTACTATATCACCCGCAGAAAAGAACCAGCATATCTTTTGAAAATGTGTGCGAGACCACCAGCATCCATGGATGTCCAAGAAAGTAGGTACTGTAAATTTATGTTTCTTGCCATGTTTCAAAGCATTACATTCTACTACTATTCACTGCATGTGCAGTTGTGTCTTGTTTGAGGGATGGTCTTCCTTTCCTTAGAAAAATATTATATATCCAGAATGACGAAGCGCGCTGTGGAGTTGCTGCAGAACCACAAGGTCCCCGAAGGCCGAAAGCGGAATGTGGACCAAGAAGACCAACGAACGATGGTGTTTTTGCAGAGAGGTAAGTTTTCACTTTCGTTGAATGTCTCGAAAATCTATATTCTCTAGTAGATTTTTGCTGAGCTATTGTGATTCCATTCATAGAGTAGCATTTGAAGTAAGTCTCAAAAAGCACATTGGTAAAGCTCTTAGTCACAGTTCGTGGGTTGGAAGGGGTTTGCTTCAGAAATAAAATTGATCAATGTCTTTTCAGGGGTCCAGCGGAAGCATGATTTGCTGTGATGCCGCCGATGTATGTAACATTTTTTCCTCTGAGATTTTTTCTTCCACGAGATGTTCGATTTTTCAGTGGAAGTATCAGGGTGTATGTCAAGAGGCGAGATTCTTATTGCCAGATGAGCAGCATTTAGCACATATTTAGTGTTTTATGAAGTTCTAGAATTGCTTGAAGGTTTGAAAGAAATGTGTTAGATATCTGCATGGATTATACGATCTTATCGTCTTGGAATCTATTCCAAACAAAATCGCTGAAGGTCAGAAACAAAATGCAGTTAATGACAGTTTTGTATCATTTATTCTAAAACTAGGAGACGCGCGACAGCATTGCGGACATTGTCTTAACAAGTTTAAGCTTGTTCTTCCCTATTCGCACAAGGTGAATAAACTTGGACGAGGTAAACAACAAGTATAAACCTGTTAAGTACGCGATTAGGCTTGTTCAGACAATGTGAGCAATGCGGTCTGGTCTCCTAGTCGTAGAATGAATGATAAATATTTCGGTCAGTTTTCTAGCAAAACTCGTCGAACTTATCAAGCGGTCAACTCAAATAGCTAGTAAGCCAATGGATTTTGTCCGGCACTTTTTGAACACTCCCATAGCACGAAACTGCAGCCTCAAGTTGGTGACAACAGCCAGAAAAATCGCGCCTCTTGACCTCTTCCCATGTATCAGTGGTTTCATTTTGAGTGCGCAATGAATTGTTTTTGTTTTTTTCCAATAAATGTTCTTCCTTGGGTAAAGTGTTCATTGCGCAATCACTGGGACCAATTTTTGGGTCAAAGGGGAAATTGTAAGGAAATTTTGGGTCAAAGGGGAATTCGTTTCCGAAAACCCCTTTTGACAAGCTCGTGCCTGGCCCTGGCTACATTACGTCACCCCTCAAATAAGCCAGAATGCGTACAATACGTCTGAAAAATCTTGCGTGCGGAAAGAATATCATATCTTCTGCAACGCTTCAGGCGTGCTAAAAAGTTTCGAAATTTACTTCTGTAATCTTCTTCTTACGTTAGCCATTTGAAACAGTCTTTGAAGAGGAAGGTAAAAGGATAATCCAGAAAAGACGGAAGGGATGTTTTGTCTACAGAATCATTGATTTCATAGGTTAATTACTCAAAAATTCAAAGTTTGGTGGTCACACAGCCTAGGCATGCGAGACGACCACATCACCGCGACAAAATCTTGCTTCGCAAGATGCTTGCTTCGCAGTCATTACAAAATATGACATTGAAAAGTCGGAAGGAAGGAAGCAAGCACAAACAGTGACAGTACAAATATAAGAGTCTACTAGGTTGTTCTATTTGTCGTCAAGTTTGTTAATAATATTTACCGATAAAAAATTAAAGAAGAGAAAAAATGTCGAAAATGGATTTACGCCTCTTCGCATTTTTGTCTCGATGCCAAAAAATCTTTCTCAGTTTCCTGCTAAGTTAGGGGATAACACATATGGATTTGCAGAGCAGATTTGCAGCTTCCAAATGCATGTGGTATATCATACATTTTACAAAACACCGTACAAAAAAATTGAGAAAGTCAAAAGAAAAAATGGGAAAGAACTTATTACACAACCACTATGGTCCGCCGCCTAAACGGCGTCGAAGAACTTATTCTGCATTATTCTTATCCTTCGAACTTCAATATACTGCCGAATCCTTTGGTAGGGCCTTCCAAGCTGTGAAGAGGATGCGTCAAATTCGGGGGCGTATTTGACTCTAACAAGATATCAAAGCCGAAAGTGTTGGCTTTCTAATCAATGGAAATTCATATCAGCTGTCGAAATATATGTTCGAAACCATTTTGAGCTATTTCTTAAACGTAATTCAAACGTACACTTGCTTTACACTTTCAGATACATCGGTTCCGCTTATGAGGCCACATCTGCTTGCATTCGAGAAAAGTCGCTTTTCAAATAGTACAGTGCAATGATACTAGGTTTTCATCATTACTTTAAAGCCTTTTATGAGTGCACTTTGGGTTGATCGAATCAGACAACTTCCATTCTCACTCTAATGTTGGGGAACAAATACATGAAGTTTTAGAAGTTTATGCATAACTACCAGAATCGAGCAAGAGGTGTGGCAACACCGCCGAATACGACACCCCCCCCCCCCCCCTTCTTTTTGTCCTGCTTCGATACCTCTTCCCCCCCCCCCTCCCTCCCAGCTTTCGTTTGCCTACCGTAGGCATGACATGAAGGCTCTACCAAGCATAACTAATCTATATATATAAAACTCAATGTCTGTGAGGATGTTCGTTTAGTTGTTCGTTCGTTATAGAAACGCCAGTCATTATACCGATTGAGCTAAAACTTCGCACACCTATGTTTTCGACCCCGGCGGTGGTTTATGGCTACTTTTTGCGGCGATTCGCAGGGTCTTCCATTGATCTATTGATTTGTTTACGTAAATCTGGGAAAATGAGAGTTTGACGTGCTCTAACCAAACATTTTCCAGTAAGCATGTGGGCAGGGTTAGTAAAGTTCATTCTAATCTCAAGGTCGACAGGATGCAGCGGGTTCGTCTTAGAGCGCTTTTCGCGCATTATCGAAGTTAGAAAGTGGAAGTATGATCGGCTTCCAGATTCCTGTGGAGGCGAGCTGCGGATTTCACTAAATTGAAGATTCAGATTCCAGTGGAGGCGTGCTGCGGACTTCTCTAATTCAAAGATAAGCTCAACGAGAGAGTACGAAATACAATGCTACAAAGTGGAGGTTTAACAAGTTTATCTCGAAAATCAGGGAAGTGCGCAACCCGCCTCTACACGAATCTGGGAGCCGATGACATTTTGGTAGGTAAGGGAACGAACTCCGTCAGGTTGAGCCCGCCTTTGCCGGCAACCACTCCTTTAGAAATATTGCGGTTGTGGTTGCAGGACCAATAGTCCGCGGAGATGTTCCAAAATGGCGGAGTTCGTTCCCCTATCCCATTTTGATTGAACTAAGAGTCTCGGGTGAGACCGGGACCATCAGCTAGTAGTAACATATATGCAATTATCATGTCAATTCACCCCGTAGGCGAATTTTGAGGATTCCCAATTTTGGGTCACCCAACTGATGGTGATACTAACTTCATCTCAAAAGTGAATTAGATACCCTTTTTGTACGCATGCAAGACCCTACTCCCTCTTTGCCCATATCATGAGTCCTGTACCAGATAATCATCAAACTTTGAAATTAAGAGCTAACCAAAATCTCATTTGTCCCATTTTCGCTTACAGTAGTTGTGCTTCCAGCAGCTATTTTTAAAAAAGATGATGAATCCAGCTCTAATCATATCTACAAAAACTATGAGATTTTGGCTAACAAACTGTTTGCATTATTCGCTAAAATTTTTCATGGTAAATCAGTGGGGTGTGGCGCAACCCCAGAAAAGCTGTGGATGCCACACTATGCCACACTCATTAACTTATCTTTTCATTACTAACATTAACTTAGTTACCACACTCATTAACTTACCTTCAAAGCACTCATCTATCTGTGTTTCTTATATCGTTGCCATTGCTAGACCTTCTTCTCGATATCTTCTAGAGAAAGGTATAGTAGTTTTTCCTTCCTTGTGCAAACGGAAAATACGCGAAAACATTGAGCTACGGTTAACATGTTGTCTGCGTTACTACCTAAATCGCGAGAGAAGGCGGCAAGAAAATTTTTACACAAGTGATTTAAACCGAATTGTCTTCTTTAGTCTGAAATTGACTTGCTTCTAATTCCATTGTTTGGAGGTCATTTAAAGTGGAATTTCCGATGTGAGCAAAGAAGTAGTTCTTTTTACTGACTGCAAAAACAAATAGCTAGCTCACCTTCGAAGCGAAGGTAATATGTTTGAAAATAATCTTCTCACTTGGATGGCCCAACATTTGAACCACAGAATTCGCTGATTGGCCCTAGATATTATTTGGCATGCTAATTGCAAAAATGACGCGCCTTTACCTTCACCGCTTTTTTATTATGCTTACTGTATAATATGTCGATATTGGGCCAAAACATCATCATGCTTGTATTTTGCATGATGGGCCTATCTGACATTGTAAACAGCTATCATGTTATCGCTGACATCAGTACCATACCACCTCGATAACGATTCCCCCCCCCCCCCCCTGACGACCGCTCCATGCGACTCCAAGGTGTGGCGTGCCACAACTCACTCTTGACCCTGGTCGTCCCCCTCCCGCTCCCCTTGCAACAATCCCAACAGTGGGCCGCGATTATTGAGTTCATTATGCGAACTGATCGTTGAAATGCTTTGGCTCGCACCGCTCCCAACTTTTTTCATAATCACGGCTTACAAGCTTGAGAAGTATTTGCAAGCTCCAAGTAAAATTTCCGAAGTGTATGGCTAACTTTGCGACCATCACTAATCTTTACTTATCCAAAATCACATTCCACGAGATTGCATCTGGATAGTATTACTATATTTTAATATATTAGGTTGATGCAAAAATAATGAGCGACTGGGACTTTTTTCAAGACAACTTTTCTCCATCAAACTTCTTCCTTTGTAACTGTTTCAGCACACTGTTAGAAAGCTGTTTTCATGCTCTATCTAATTATGTTCCAAAAGGACTTCTAGCCCACTCTGTTAAAATTTTATAGAGCTTCAAATAATCGCACTAAAAACCAAATTTTCGTTGCATTCATTTTCGTGGCCAGAATATGAAGGTGGTTTATCGAAAATTTAGCCGCTATATGTAATGGACATGTCTACATTACGCATATTTGACCATATTTTTTTGAAGTCATCTAAAATGAGATATCGGCGGCTTAACATGGTTATAATCATTTTAGACCCCATAACTTTCTTTTCTAGAATTCAGTCACTCAAACGTTGCTCATCTCTGTAAGCGTGAGGGTAGAAATCCTAGTAGCAATTTTTGCAAACACATCCAGCTGTTCAGTACGCAAAAAATCAAAAAATTCTATACTTCGGGGTTTGGGGCCTACTGAAAAAATGCTGAAAAAGTTGATATTTTTGAATTTCGATTTTCCCTTCTTCGCTAATCTTTTTCC